TTTCTCTTTCTTGCCACCAGCAGCAGAAGCAGCAGGCGTTTGCTGCTGCTGCTGCTGCTCCTGCTGCTGCTGCTTCTGCTGCTGCTTCCGTAGGCCCAAGAAACTCATGAACCTTCCCCACAGAGTAGCCTGCTGCTGCTGTTCTTGCTGCTGCTGCTCTTGCTGCTGCTGCTCTTGCTGCTGCTGGTCTAGCTGCTTCTGCTCTTGCTGCTGCTGCTCTTGCTGCTGCTGCTTCTGCTGAGGGTCTCCGCTGGACCCGTTCTCTGCTGCATCTGCTGCTGCTGCTGCTTCTGCTGCTGCATGTGTTGCTGTAGTTGCTGCTGCTGCTCTGGCATCTGTTTCACTCTTGTGCTGCTGCTGCTGTTCTTGCTGCTGCAGCACGGCAGGGCCCCGGATACTGCTGCTGCTTCTGGAGTGTCTGCTGCTGCTGCTGCTGCTTCTGCTGCTGCTGCTACCGCTGCTGCGAGCTGCTGCCTGCAACGGAACCAGCCTTGTTGCTGCTGCTGCTGCTGCTGCTGTGGCCTTGGGCCAACCTAGAAGCAGCAGCTGCTGCTGCTTTTCCTGCAAGACAAAGCTATGGACGTTGCTGCTGCTGCATGCAGACAGCAGCAGCAGCAGCAAATGCAGCAGCAGGCCGGATCGCGGCTCACGCATCTCGCCTCAAAGATCTGCTGCTGCTGCTGCTGTTGCTGCTGCTGTTGCTGCTGCCGTTGCTGCTGCTGCTGCGGCAGCAGTAGCAGCAGCTACAGCTGCTGCAACACACCGACCTGCGTGGGGGGTGTCTTCTGGGCCTGCTTTGCTGCTGCTGCAGCAGCTGCTGCCGCTGCTGCTGCCGTTGCTGCTGCTGTTGCTGCTGCTGTTGCTGCTTTGTGTTTTCCCTGCTGCTCTGTGCTGCGCAGCAGCAGCAGCTGCAGCAGCAAGGCTGGGATGGGCGGGGGCCCCCAGTGCTGCCGACAGAAGCCCTAAACCCTAGACGTAAACCCTAAACCCTAAACCCTAGAAGCAGCACCTTGTAAGCTCTTCCAGCTCATAAAGAGTAATTGAAATTCTATTTTCAATATTTAAAATCACTTAGAAAATCGGCGGAGCAGCAGCAGCTGCTGCTGTTACTGCTGTTGCTGCAGCAGGAACAGCTGCTGCTGCTTTGCTGCTGCAGCAGCAGCAGCCGCTGCTACTGCTTTGCTGCAGCAGCAGCAGCTGCTGCAGCGCAAAGCCACCGTGAAACGACAGCATGCAACAAGATGGAATTCTTTTGACTCAACTTATGTTTCTTTTGTCCCTAAAACATATATCCAGCAGCAGCAGCAGCAGCAGCAGCAGCAGCAGCAGCAGCCGCAGCCGCCGCAGCAGCAGCAGCAGCGTGCTCAGTGGAAGCCACGCATACTGCGTAAACGATTACGCAGCAGCAGCAGCAGCAGCAGGAAATAGCATACGCAGCAAGAGCAGCAGCAACAGCTGCAGCAGCAGCGACAGCAGCAGCAGCAGCGGCGGCAGTAGCAGCAGCAGCAGCAGCAAGTACAACTTCTGCGGCCGCACGAGCTGCAGCAGCAGCAGCAACAGCGGAAGCGCGTTGCACTTGTCACTGGGAGACAGAAGACTCTTGCCCCTGCAGGGTGTAGGGTTTAGGGTTTAGGGTTTAGGGTTTAGGGTTTATTGGGCCTCGGTGCTGCAAACATGGTGCGTCTTCCCCTTCTCCGTAAACCCTAAACCCTAAACCCTAGCCCGTAGCGCGAAACCCTAGGAGCAGTTGCGGAGGAGCAGTTTTCACGTTCGGGGGCCTTCGCGCTGCGGAGGGCTGCCGCTAAACCCTAAACCCTAAATTAGGGTTTGCGCCGCAGTGGGACTTGGGCCGCAGCGTGGCCAACTTCTGGGGCGGAGGCGGCGAAGAAGCAAGAGAAGGGTTTAATGCCACTTACACAGCTTATCCCGTTTCTTTTGCTGCGAAGGACCACCTCGAGAGCGGCAACAAAAGTAAACCCTAAACCCTAAACCCTAAACCCTAAACCCTAAACCCTACGGCGCAGCAGGCGCACGCAGGGGCGCCTCGGCACACCGAGGACAGCGTTTAGGGTTTGAGGGGGGAATTTGCCCTGCTGGATACGCGCGCGGGGATGAGGGTTTAGGGTTTAGGGTTTAGGGTTTAGGGTTTAGGGTTTAGGGTTTAGGGTTTAGGGTTTTTGCAGTCTTGCTGCCGCCGTCGGCTCTTCACGCGCTCGCGCGTCTGCACATATCCTGGCCGATGCATTTCCGCATTTGCAACACTGCTAAGGTTTGCAAACCCTAAACCCTAAACCCTAAACCCTAAACCCTAAACCCTAGGCCCTAAACCCTAGGCCCTAAACCCTAGGCCGCAAACCCTAGACTTTATCTCCTAAACCCTAGGCCCGGCACCCTGGACCCCCGTCGCCAGCGCTGGAAGAATGATTCCTGTAGTCTCTGAGAACTAGGGTTTAGGGTTTAGGGTTTAGGGTTTAGGGTTTAGGGTTTAGGGTTTAGGGTTTAGGGTTTTGGAATGTGCGCAGGACAAACTGACCCACTGCGGGGTGTTGGAGTTCGTGTCGGAGGAAGGCACGTGTTACATGCCCTACTGGGTAAACCCCAAACCCTAAACCCCAAACCCTAAACCCTAAACCCTAAACCCTAAACACTAGCAGTCTGTCCGGCAGAGTCCGCGTCGGTCTATTCGTGGTTTGCTGCTGCTGCGGAGGGCCGAGGGTTTAGGGTTTGGCTGCGTCGCGGGTCGCAGCGCCGCGAACTGCCGCGGGGCGCCTAGGGTTTAGGGTTTAGGGTTTAGGGTTTAGGGTTTAGGGTTTAGGGTTTGCGCGCAGATGATGCAAAACCTCCAACTCGAAGAGGGGGGCCTTGTTAGTGTTTCGGATGTGTCTTTGCCGAAAGGGACTTACGTGCAGCTGCAGCCGCTGGAAACGGAGTTTTTGGAAATCAGCAACCCCAAGGCCCTGTAAACCCTAAACCCTAAACCCTAAACCCTAAACCCTAAACCCTAAACCCTACGCGCTGAGGCCTAGGCGCCTGGGCAGTGCGAGTCGCCGTGCCACGCAGTGATGGGGGGTTTAGGGTTCGCGCTGCAGCTCATCTCCGCCGTTTGGGGTTTAGGGTTTAGCTTTAGGGTTTAGGGTTTAGGGTTTAGGGTTTAGGGTTTAGGGTTTGTGGGCTAGGCTGGAAATGGCCCTGCGGGGCTACGCGGCGCTGACCAAAGGCGAAGTCGTGTCTCTTCCTTTCTTGGACTGCGTCTACCACCTGCTTGTTGCCGTAAACCCTAAACCCTAAACCCTAAACCCTAAACCCTAAACCCTAACTAAACCTAGCGCGCGTTCGGCCCTCCTGCTCGTTAACGGCTTTTTGCAGCAAGCCCCGAAACCCTCGTTTTGGCGTGGCTTGTGCGCTGCTGCTGAACCCTAAACCCTAGACCCTAGACCCCAAACCCTAAACCCTAATTTAGGGTTTGCGGGTGCGCAGGACTTGCGGCCAGCCCCTGCAGTGTCGATTGTTGAAACAGACATCGAAGTAGAGTTTAAGGCCCCCGAGGGTTCCACAGGGCCCAGCCCAAACCCTGAAACGCCCACAGGTATTCCAAACCCTAAACCCTAAACCCTAAACCCTAATTCCGAAAGTTTGGGCCTCCAGAAGCAAACCCTAGGGGCTGGGCAGTTGCATTGCTGCTGCTGCTTCTGCTGCAGCCACTGCTGCTTGTGCTGCTGCTGCCTCTGCTGCTAATGCTGCCTTTGCTGCTGCTGCACCTGCTGCTGCTGCTGCCTTTGCTGCTGCTGCTGCTGCTGCTGCTGCTGCTTCCAGAGGGCGGGTATATCAGCAGCGACGAGGCCTCTGAAGAGACGGGACCAGAGTCCAGCAATGTAGGTGCACAAGTTGAGGGTTTAGGGTTTAGGGTTTAGGGATTAGGGTTTAGGGTTTAAGCTCGAAGGCTTAGGGTTTAGAGGCAGGGACAGGAGAACTTTCGCGGCTTAGAGATGGATCTCGCCAAAGAATTCTAGGGTTTGGGGTTTAGAGTTTAGGTTAAAGGGTTTAGGGTTTAGGGTTTAGGGTTTAGGGTTTAGGTTATAGGGTTTAGGGTTTGGGTCTCTGCAGCGTTTCTCTGGAGAGGGCCGCCGCCTTGATGGGCGTCCCCTTCGCAGCAGCAGCCGCAGCAGCAGCAGCAGCAGCAGCAGCAGCAGCAGCAGCAAGGAAACAGCGGAAGCAAAGCTGCTGCGTCAGAAACCCTGGCTGGGGAAGCTGCCCCATGGCGTTCGAGTAAACCCTAAACCCTAAACCCTGAAGCCTTTTCCTCGCTCTAGAGATTGCTCACTTCGCTGCTGCTGCTGCTGCTGCTGCTGCTGCTGCGGTTGCTGCTGCAGCTGCTGCTACCTGAGGGCGTGCTGCGTGTGCCGATTCCAACGCCTTAAACCCTAAACGTAAACCCTAAACCCTAATTTGGCGTTTTGCTGCTGCAGCGCGAGTGCGCCGCCTACGAAGCCCTGGTGCGGTCTGGACGAATTCCAGGAGTTGTGGGGAGGGTTTCTGTTGCTGCTGCTGCTGCTGCTGCTGCTGCAGCAGCAGCAGCAGCAAAGCCGCAGCAAAGCGGCGAAGCGCCCAGCAACTTCCAGCTCTTCGGAGGCACCGGGAATAGCCTGGAGTAGGGCAGCAGCAGCAGCAGCAGCAGCAGCAGCAGCAGCAGCAGCAGCAGTGGCTTCTGCTGCTGCGACAGCAGCAGCTGCAGCAGCAGTAACAGCTGCAGCAGTAGCAGCAGCTGCTGCAGTATTCAGTACACCAACAGCAGTAGCTGCTGTGGCTGCAGCAGGTAGAGCAGCAGCTGCAGCATTTATACCTGCAGCAGCAGGAACAGCAGCAGCACCTGCAGCAGCAGCAACTGCAGCAGCAGCAACTGCAGCAGCAGCACCTGCAGCAGCAGCACCTGCAGAAGCAGCACCTGCAGCAGCAGCACCTGCAGCAGCAGCACCTGCAGCAGCAGCACCTGCAGCAGCAGCACCTGCAGCAGCAGCAGCAATTTGTGCAATAGCGCAACAGCAGACAGCGAGAGGCTGCTGCGTTTATTTCTACTGCTGCAAAACCTAGACCCTGCGTGTATTAGTTTTAGGGTTTAGGGCTTAGCTTAGGGTTTAGGGTTTAGGGTTTAGGGTTTAGGGTTTAGGTTGGGGCTTGGGAATAGGGTTTAGGGTTTAGGGTTTAGGATTTAGCGTAAATGGGGAGGCCCCACCCAAACGCTCACGTTGTCTGTTATGCGGCTCGTGGGACTTAGGGTTTAGGGTTTAGGGTTTAGGGTTTAGGGTTTCTAATGCGGAGCCTTTGGACTCCGCTTAGCCCTTTTCTTCAAACCCTAGTCCAAAACCCTAAACCCTAAACCCTAAAAGCGAGGGCCCCCATGCCTCCTCAGGGGCCCTCCGAGTCAGAATGTGCACAGGGGGCCCCCAGGGGCCCCCGTGCTGTTCTTTGTGCCCTTAGGGGCCCCCCAGGGGGCCCCCAGGGGGCCCCCAGGAGGCCCCCAGGGGGCCCCCTGGGGCACTTCAGGGGCCCCTAAGGGGCCCCCAAGGATTGCTTTAGAGGCCCCAAGGGGGCCCCTAGGGGCCCCTACAGTGACCTTATTGGGGCCTATCAGGGGCCCCCAGGCGGCCCTCGGGGAGCCCTTGGGGGGCCCTTGGGGGGCCCCAGGGGGCCCCCTGGGGGCCCCCTGGGGCCCCCCAGGGGACTTCTGCTGCCGTTTATACCCTGTCTGTGGGGCCCCCAGGGGGCCCCCTTGAGGGCCCCCGAAGCTGCGCTGCAGGGCCTCCAGGGGGCCCCCAGGAAGGCCCTGTGGGGCCCCCAGGAGGCCCCTAAAGGGCCCCTAGAGGTCCCCTGGGGGCCCCCATGGGGGCCCCCCTGTGGGGCCCCACAGGGGGCCCCTCTGTGGGGCCCCTGTGGGGCCCCTGTGGGGTCCCTGGGGGGCCCCTGGGGGGCCCCTGTGGGGCCCCTGGGGGGCCCCTGTGGGGCCCCTGGGGGGCCCTCTGTGGATGTGGGAAAGACTGCAGCAGCAGAAATAAAGTAATTTGATTTATTTTTACTTTTTAATTAAATTTAATTTATTAAATTAATTTAATTTGTCAAAAGTACTGGCGGTTTGTGGGTAGCTAGCCGTGCTGCTGCTGCTGCTGCTCGTTGAGGCAGCAGCAGCAGCAGCAGCAGCAGCAAAAATAACAGCAGCAGCAAAAATAGCAGCACTTGTTTTGCTTTTTGGGGTATAAGCCCATATCTCGAGCACTTCCTGCTGAGGACTCTTTACCGGGAACTAGGGTTTAGGGTTTAGGGTTTAGGGTTTAGGGTTTAGGGTTTAGGATGGAGGGGATCCGTCTGTTGCAGGGTCACCGGGACTCTGTGGTCTCCCTTGACTTGTACACTCCCTTTGCTGCTGCAGCTAGCTGCTGCTGCTGCTGCTGCTGCTGCTGCTGCTGCCCGCCTGCAGCCCTCCCGTCTGCAGCAGCGGCTGCCCCCAGCAGCAGCAGCAGCAGCAGCAGCAGCAGCAGCAGCAGCAGCAGCTGTTTGCTGCTGAGCAGCAGCGAAGACCGCACAGTCCGCCTGTGGGACCTGCGGCAGCAAAAGGGGCCCCTGTGTCTCTCTTTAGACCCTTGGGGGGCCCCCGGCGCTGTGGGAGCAGCAAAGTTTGCTGCTGCTGCTGCTGCTGCTGCTGCTGTTGCTGTTGTTGCTGCTTGCGGCAGCAAGCTCCTCACCTTCGACCTGCGGCACACGCTGCGGCCCCTTCAGCAGCAGCAGCAGCAGCAAGACCAGCAGCAGCAACAGCAAGAACAGCAGCAGCAGCAAGAACAACAGCAACAGCAGCAGCAGCAGCAGCAAGAACAGCAGCAGCAGCAGCAGCAGCAGCAAGGGGAGGTTGAGGCTAGTGCTGCTGGGATTACGCCCTCGGTGATAGACGTGAGGGCCCTTTGTTCCGGAGAATCAGCAGCAGCAGCAGCAGCAGCAGCAGCAGCAGCAACAGCAGCAGCAGCAGCAGCAGCAGAAGAAGAGGAAGCAGACAGCGATTGGGACATAAACGACTTTGACGTGTGGCAGCCCCCTGCTGCTGTGCTGCAGCAGCTGCTGCGCAGCAGCAGAAGCAGCAGCAAAAGCAGCAGAAGCAGCAAGAAATCCGCAGCAGCTCCTTCAGCAGCAGCAGCAGCAGCTGCAGCAGCAGCAGCAGCAAATTCCCCTGCATCTGAAGGCCCCCTCATCGCCGTCCCCACAGACGGCGGCAGAGTGGTGCTGCTGCTGCAGCAGCAGCAGCAGCTGCAGCAGCAGCAGCAGCAGCAGCAGCAGCAGCAGCCTTTGCTGCTTCACCTTCCTGCTGCTCCGCAGCACAGCAACATTTGCGGCATCGCCAGATTCAGGAAAAGCTGCGACGCAGACCTCATCACAGGAGGGTGCTGCTGCTGCTGCTGCTGCTGCTGCTGCTGCTGCTGCTGCTGTTGCTGCTGCTGCTGCTGCTGTTGCTGAACAATA